AATAATAAATATAATAATAATAATAATGATAATAATAAATATTCGAGGTCCAACGGCTCTACAACCCAACGAAGTGGTACGAAGTGTACGCTGTACGCTGAGAGGTTACGAAGGTGATTTGCAACAATTGCAGCGGAATTTCAAAAATTCCGAATTGCAGGTGAGTGATTTGGGGTATTTATTATTATTTATTATTATTATTTATTATTATTATTATTGTTAATATTATTATTATATTTTGTAAGTTGGAAGAACTGAGTAGACGTTACGAGAACGTTGAGGATATGCGAAAACGTCTCGAGAAGCAGCTGGCGGACACGAAAAAAGAGCTGCTGATCAGGTGAGTTCGATGCCGGGCTGAGGCATTATTTTTGCGAAAAACTTTTTGGCAGGCACATTGCCAAATTTGAATTTTAGCGATTTTTTTCCACGTTTTTAGTTGATTTTATGAAGAATTTCAGTATGAGATGAACCTAGAATCGTTTATATGGAATAATTTGTGAGATTTTTCGTAATTTTTATGGAATTTTACGAAAATTTTCAAAATTTTCCAAATTTGGAAAGTGTGAAAAATAATTTTTGCAGTGAAAATTCTTTGGACGATGCAAACCGTGAGGTGAATCGTTTAGAAGACAAATTGAGCGTGTCGGAATCGGAGAACGCGTTCGCTGAGGGGGTACGGAGCAAATTGGAGGACGAGATTAGACGATTGAAAATGTTAATTAGTTTATTTATTATTGTTATTATTTATTGTTGATATTATTTATTATTATTGTTTATTGTTATTTATTAATAGAATTATTATTTATTATTGTTATTATTTGTTGTTGATTTAAATTATTATTACTATCGTTATTTTATTCTGCCGAATTTTGAAGAACGTTGGAGCAAGCGGATATAGCGGGATTACGGAAGGCTTTAGAGGATTGTGAAGCTGAGAAGAAATTAGTTGAGGAGGATTACAAGATTAGGTGGGTTTTAGTGGGGATTTTTATTGTTTTTGTTTATTATTGTTGTTATTTTTATTATTTACTGTTATTTTTAATATTTATTGTTATTTTTATTATTTATTGTTGTATTTATTGTTTATTATTGTTA